ATAGTACCCGCCCGTTAAGTCCACCTGAAGTCAGCAAACGGAACGTTACAAAATAAAAAATAACTAAATTTAAACGCGGCGTTGTGAAAAGTGGGAGGAGTGTTAGGGAGGGGAAGAGTGTATGGAGTGGGAATTACTCCGGCGGTGGATCCGTCGTGCAATGCGGAGTCGTGGCGCCATTTCAATCGTTGATCTGGGGGGAGCTTTCCGGAGCGTTGGCCTTCGAAGAATAGGATGCTCTTGCGGAGGGCGTCGTGGTAGTCGTGGCCGGCGCTGATTGGGTGCAGAAGAAGGGAAACGAGGAGGAGGAGGGCGAGAGTCACGCGAAATGCGGAAACATTCCCCCGGAGGCAGAGGACGTTTGGCGCCATTTTTGTTGGTGGTGGGAGCAATTTGGAGCAACCGTCGTGGGTTCTTTATAACGAAAAGACGTCATTGGATTCCAGAGCATGGGCCAATGGAAAAGGAACACGTGGATGGATATTACTGGGAGGTGCTCGGATACCAATGCAGGACATGCGTGACTGGGTCACCTCGGGTTCTTTGACTTATTCGACCCGGCTTGGACCGAAGCGGTGTTGTAAATAATTTAGTAGTTAATAGTAATAGAAACTGACATAGTAAGCCTGCTTAAAAAGGGAAAGAATCGACGGTGATGAAGTTGTGAAATTAATTATGATGGAGTTGCATATGGTCCAGGGTGCGATGGATGGGTCACACGTGGAAGGAGTGAGCGGTGTTGGGCCCACAGTGATTTTGGGCATTTTACATTCCAATTTCCAATGGAGATATAGATAGATAGGAAGCAGAAGTATAGAAGAAAGTGATGAAGGAGGATTGTGGATTTGATTGGTTTGGAGTGGGAGTGGCAGGAGGAGGGAATGATCCTGAAGCGTCAGATTACATTATAAGGTTGACTGTGTTTTTACGAATTTGGAGCAATGTCCAATGGGAATATGAGACTGAGTGATCTCTCTTGTGATTTGCTTTTGGACATAAAAAATGTGTTTAAACTTCAGATGAAAATTCTCCAATGGGTTCCACCATACGTTCGTAGATTATTTACATATGATATTTGTGGTCCTCCCACAAATGGATTTCAATCAGACAAAATTTGAATGGAATACTTTTCAAAGGGCAAGCTGAGGTGAGGTGAGCCTGCAAATTATTTTTCTGAAACTTGTCTTACAACAAAAGAGTATCAAATAAAATCCAATGTAACGTAATTCCCTACTTGCAGTTTGCTCTTATATATTGCCGGCTCAATTAAGGACGCATCGAGCATCTTTCTAAGTTGTTTAGAGCTTTTTTTTAGTTGATACAAACGATATTCTATTTTAATCTGATTTAAAATGAGGGGGATTTGAACTTAGGTATTGAGTGGAGAGCACATTTGTTTTAATGAATTTTGGTAAACCATATATGCAGTTGTTTAAAGCCTTTTGTGGTTGTCATATGATACATATTATAAACACAAATAAGCAATCAAAGCTTACCCAAGTAATGAGGAAGACTGAGCAGTAAATTGATTCTCCATCAATTTTAATCAAATAATTGTGCATGTGACTTGTGATGAGTAGTTATGATATGATTAAGCTTTCGGAAAATCTATGTTAACAAAGAATTTTAATGTTGGGTTGAATCAAGGGCATCATGTGATTCATCATAACCATTTGCCCAATCTAAGGCTATAGACAATCCACCGAAAGGAAGGCATATAGAATTTGGTGCCTGCCTTCTTTTCTGTCAATCAATAATATGAATACGAATACGATGAACCCCTTTTTCCCAAGAAAAGACTATGAGTTCGACTCCTGGTATTTGTGTAGTGTGTTTGAGTTTAATATATTATCGTCTCTCTAAATAGGAAAACTCCTTAAAAAACAAAAACAAAAACAAAAAAAAACCAAAAAAAGATTGAAGCTAATGGATCCAATTGAACCCGGCCTTGTTAAATTGTGTCAACAACTTGCAATGGGCCTCTCTATGGGTTTCATATGAAAAGGCCACCTAAATTAACACATAAGAAAAGGCCACAATTCAATGGGTCTCAAAATACAGAGAAAACTGACCCATTAGTTGAACTACAGTCCAAGCCCAACCCATTCAAACAAAATTCACATAAAAAGTGCGAACTCTTGTAAGCCCACAATAAAAAATAAATTGGTATTTGTTTGAACAGAACAGTCATTTCACTTGTCAATAGGCATCGTTTGACCACAATTACATACTGAGGTTGCAGAGCGATGATTTTTTGGTAATATTTAAGTTAAAGATTGATTATATACTTTTAATTGCTGTTAAATTGCATATAAAAAACTATCAATACATTTAATGAATGTAATTCAACAATCAAAATTAGGAGTGTATAATTAATTCTTAATATAAAATATTTATTGAAGAATCTCTTACAGTACCAATAATTAAAATATTTTGTTTGTATGTATTTCAGCTGAAAACAAAAGCTGCCATTCTAACAGTAACGGAGTACCAGAGTAACAGACAGCGACTGCCAAACCGAATAACTAAATACCGAAATTGTGGCCCGCGAGTTTCGAGATCAAACTGTGCACCCGCAAAATGAGCTCAAACCCAAAACATGAGTACAAAATTAAATTATAAAAGCACCCGATTGGACTAAAAAAATTAACTACTACTTACTTTGGACTAGAAAAGTAAAAGTGATGATAGTGAGTGGGGCAGTGACCTGACCCAAAAGCTATTTCTGAGATTAATTAAGGAAAGCATAATTAAATCAATTGCAACTTGATTCATTATCAACCCAACCCAACCCAACTGAGAGAAAGGTAAGAAGATACACGCGAACACAAGATTTTAACAGGTCCATCGAATCATTATTTCGACCCAAAAGCTCTCAGTGGTTCACAAGTCAATGAAAGTCTTTATGAAACCTAAACTCGGTGTTTAAAAAGAAAATATTTTGTTAGATGGTTTAAAAGAAAGTGTTGAGAATAATTGATATGATACACTTTGAATTAAAATAATAAACAAAATTACTCTTGTTTAAAATAATAAACAAAATTGCTCTTGTTTAGAAATGCTAGCAATCAAAAACCGTAAAGCATCAATTATTAAATATTCATTAAACTGTAGGCCTAGCTAGCTGCAATGGAATCACGTACGCACATACAGCATCTAGGTCTTTAACATATGAGCTAGCTAATGACATGGCTATAATTCAATTGCTCTTTAATTACGGTGACATCTCCCCTTGTTTAACGCAACTGAATTAGGTCAAATAATCTTGACTTAATCTGACAATGATGCATGGCCCCGTGCCATGGGGTTGGCCCATATAGCTGAAATGAAACCATGGTTTATCTCTTCTAGAAACATTTACTAACCAAAGGTTAAAAACTCAACCTCGGTCTCTGTGATCCTCCTCAATCATGACCCATGTCCCTTTTGCAAATCTTCAACTTTAAACCAAGAAGAAAATCTGCGGCGGCCCCGCAGACAAACCCACAAACAAACTCATTACAAGCTTTTACATGACGATGAGGTTTGATGATGTTCTCCCTCATCCTCCTGTCCCGTCCTGTCCACCACCGCATTCTATATCATCAATACTGTGAACTCATACGCTATTATTTCTATTCGCTTGCTTTGAGTCAATTACGCCGGTGTGCCCGTGAATCAATTATTTATTTATATATACATATATGTATTTTTTCCCAGAAGCTTCAACAGTTAATTCATATTAATTTTGGGATCACAAGAGCTTAATTGTGATTAATTACCAAACATAACATCAAACTTAAAAACTCAAGAGGCAGTAGACATCCCTAGCTCTCTTACAATACAACTCTCATACGTAGCTTTGCTTTCCTTGGTGGATGGTGCACGTACGTAAAATTAACTGATACATTTGACTTTTAATGATTTAACGAGTGTGGTATTTTCTTGTGTTTACACTGAATACGCCCTGATACTTGTAGTGATGTAATGATTCTGTGGTTGCGTAGTGAAAATAACAATAGTGTATTTGGACTTTGAACCCCACACTCTACGCTGTTGCGCACACACTATAAAGTTGCACGCTTGCCAATAGTTTTAGTGGGGGGCGACTACAGAAGCAAATGTCTCACTCTCCTAACTAACACACCCAACCCAACCGCCTCAGGAATAAAATGGCAAGAGCACCAGCCGTCCAATTTAATCACAATTATGGTCATCATTATGTACCCGAGTCGCACTGAATCATTTGATTGGGAGTTGGATGTTTCCATTGCATCGTAGCCGTTGATGACGTTGTCTGGGCAACGGCTGACCGTTAAAATGATATTTTATAAATGCTGTTCATGAGTACCTATTGCTCTAATGATATATAATTCCAAACAGTATTTTCCCTCCTCCCAGATAAAACCAAAAAAAGGATTATTTGATATAAACGACAACTGAATCATATATTTTTCTATTAAAGAGTATTGCCTAAGAATGAAATCATGGAAGAAAAACACAGGGATTGTGTATTTTCGTTAAGGAGAGAGAAAATAGGAGATGATGAATTGTAATTAATACTCTTTCTTTTTCTTTTTTTCAATAAAAATTATCTAAGTACTATTAACATGTTTACTTATCATGAGTGAGTATTGAGAGATTTTTCAAATTCTTGACTTTCCACATTAACACCGTAGCACTTAATGAATAAAAAAATAATGCAAATTGTACGTTAAAATCTGTGATCAAATATCCTCAAATTCTTGATTCTTCTATTTAAGTTTCCTAATTCATGACTTCCTTGATTTTGAGTAAGCAAATATTGTCTACTTTCCTAAATTTTAGTAGGCATCCATACCAACAAAAAGAAGGAAATAATCCATGAGTTTCCTTGTTTGAGGTAAGTAATCTCAAGATTTTAATAGGAATCCATTGAAAAGAAGGAAGGAGATCAATGGCAATCGTTAATTGGTCAAAGGAGAGTGGGCTATCGTAGCCGTACATAAATAAGTCCCTCTAGCGCTAGGAATATTGTACCACTACTTAAAGAGAGCCCCAACGACTCACATGTACACACACCACAACAAAGGCACAAAGGCAGAAGCAAGCAGAGAGCTCTGTTTCAATAGTTCCCCCAAAACCATGAACACCACAAAAAGCATGACCCTCTTCCAACTCTCGCTCATCATCTTCGTCTTCTTTTTCACCCTCCATCCAAACCCAACCCTCGGATCCCCAACCAACGACGCTGATTTCATCCGTACAAGCTGCGGCACCACGCTCTACCCGCAAGTCTGCTACACCTCTCTCTCCCGCTACGCCAGCGCCATCCAGAACAACCCGGCTCAGCTCGCCAAGGTAGCCATCAGCGTCAGCCTCGCTAAGGCCAGGCGCATGGCCGCTTACGTCTCCGACATCTCCCGCCAAGCCGACTACGGCGCCGACCCTCGATCCGCCTCCGCCCTCCACGACTCCCTCTCCAACTTCTACGCAGCATGGGG